AAACCCCCACTCCTCGGCCATTGGCGCTGACTCCCTGTTGTGTCAGACGGTTTTTTATGGTGTGACAGACAATGGCCTCTGCTGTGAGGGTCAGTGACCCCTGTTGCAGGTGTCAAAACTCAGTCCGGACACGAGGCCCTGACGTCTGAGGGGGTGTGGCCAGAATTTTTTGATTGGAGATTGGTCTATTTTTTATCGGGGCATTAGTCTTCGGCGTCTGATAGGCTGTACCTATACTTGCCGGCCCTCTGATTGGGTGATTTTTATTTTGGAAGGGTAGAGGGAAAGTAGGTGGGTTTGAAAAAAAGCCGACAAAATGGCGAGTCGTGGTATACCGAGGCTACGTGGAGGGCGACTATGCACCTCGCTCTTCGAACTCTCTTACGCGATAGAGAGGAAGGGCCGCCGGAGTGACAGCGATGAAAAAGATTAGCAAAAAATACAGACTCGCACTGATTTCGGGCTGATAGCTTACTAGACGTTGCACTATCGGCTAATGTTGGTATCATCATCGGTAACAAAGGAAACAAAAAAAACAAGGTATATAAAAATTACAAACGCCTCTAACGTCTGACCACGATTTCGCTTGCCGTATACGCGATATCAAGTATTATCGACACCTCGGTAACAAATAAGACCTAACAATAAAAAAAAAAAGAAGCATGTGTACAATTTCGGCTGAACGTCACCTCGACACCAAGAGTAATAAAAATAACTCTAATAGAAAACACGCTTGCTCGGGTTCGCATTCAAAGTTTTCATTGCTGGAAAAATAAAATAAAATTATTTCTTGATATACGGGGAAAGAATAGAGAAAAAAGCATGTTAAATCAATTTGAGATACAAAATTTTATTCTATGCTAATTTTAAATAATTTAAAATTGGTAACGTTATTATAAAAAACGTACATAAAATTTATTTTTCTTATTACATATATTACAGACTTATATTATTACTATTATTAACACTACTATATTACAAAATTTTACGCAAAAAAAATATTTCCTAATATGCGTATAAAATATTTGTACAAAATGCGGGAGAAAATACAGAAGAAAAAGAATATTATATTTCGCATTCAAAGTTTTTATTGCTGGAAAAATAAAATAAAATTATTTCTGATATACAGGGACAGAATAGAGAAAAGAATATATTGAACAATTTGAAGTAAAAAAGATCGAATTTCTATTTCGCTATGAGGTAAATGATAGAGAATATAGGAAAAATATAAAATATTAAGTAAAAAGTTTCACACAAAGTTTATTATTACTAATTCTTCATATAAATGGATGTTACATAAAAGTTAAAAGCGTTACATAGAAATATGTTATTAAAATTATTGAATTGAATATAATATTAGAATTAGAAATTACGTTTCTATTTTAGCGGAAAAAATATTTTTTGAAACGTACGATTAATCTGTCGTTGCGTGTACAATTTTTGGTAAAAAGAGTAAGAAATTGATTAAGATCGTATCCGATAGACATAAAGTAAAGAAATACACAACTATAATGTCCGCAAGTTTGTGAAAAAAGTCCTTGTAGTTGACGGATATTCCATCGATGGATGACGGAGTTTCGTCGAAGTCGACGGAGAAATCCTGGTTCCAGAGGAGGAAGTCCGTAGCTATCGAAGAAGGTGCCTGTTCCATGATCGTCGAGGAAAAAGGCGACCCAGTGTTCACCAGGTCTATTATGATCGTCTGTATTAGCGACGATAGCCGTCGACCTTGTCCACACCCTCGGAACTCTGTCAGCGGAATAAACTCCCGCATGCTTGGCATCGATACGAGGGTCACTATATATATTTCGGGAATTGGCAACACTGATGTCATGTGAGTCCATCTGACGGTTCCATCGTAAAGTTTGACATTTTTGACGATATACGTACTCAGAACATTTTGTCATACGGACGCTATTTGTTTATTTTATATTTAGTTGAAAGTTTCGTCTCGGCAAAAAATGGAACTGAATCGTGAACATTTTCGTGCGATGATTTTTTACGACTTTCGACGTGGATTATCACAACAAGAGTGCGTCAATCAACTTAATTTGACTTTTGGCGATGAAGCTCCATCAAAAACCACTGTGTATCGCTGGTATAGTGAATTCAATCGTGGTTGTAGTTCGCTGTCCGACGAGTTTCGTGAAGGTCGTCCAAAATCGACTGTAGTGCCAGAAAACATCGATGCTGTGCACGAAATGATTAAGCAAGATCGTCATGTAACCTATTGTGAGATTGAGGCATCCCTAAGCATTAGTTCCACCAGCATATATGCGATTTTACATGAACACTTAGCTGTGTGAAAGTTATGTTCGCGTTGGATCCCACATAATTTGACAATCGCTCAAAAAAGGCTCGTGTCGATTGGTGCAAAGAAATGCTTAAGAAATACAATCGCGGTGCTTCAAAAGACGTTTATAAAATCGTGACAGGTGACGAATCATGGATATATTCATATGAGCCCGAAAGTAAGCAGCAGTCGACTGTATGGGTGTTCCAAGATGAACCAAATCCAACAAAAGTTGTTCGCGCACGAAGCATTTCAAAGAAAATGGTGGCCTGTTTCTTCGGAAAAACTGGTCATATTGCAACAGTGCCTCTAGAGGATCGTAGAACAGTAAATTCTGAGTGGTACACAACCATCTGTTTGCCAGAAATCTTCGGTGAAATAAGGAAAACAAACAAGAGACGTCGGATTGTTCTTCATCATGACAATGCGAGCTCTCACACATCGGCTCAAACAAGAGACTATTTGAGCACTCAAAACATCGAATTGATGGGTCATCCGCCGTACAGCCCTGATTTGGCACCCAATGATTTCTTTTTGTTCCCATCCGTGAAGAATAAACTGCGTGGTCAACGATTTTCATCGCCCGAAGAAGCTATTGAAGCGTTCAAAAATCATGTTTTGGAGATACCTCATTCGGAATGGAATAAATGCTTTGAAAATTGGTTTAAGCGCATGCAAAAGTGTATCGATCATCGTGGCGAGTACTTTGAAAAACAATAAAAATATATTCGCAGCTTAACTATTTGTTTTTGTTCCTATTCCCGAAATATAAATAGTGATCCTCGTATGACGTAATGCCCGTAGAATTTCGCAAGAGTTCATTTTTTGACGCGAAGATGAACGCGCGGATCCTGGTATTATTTGAATAAACTTGGCAAAATTGATTTCGACGTAACTAGCAATTTTATTCAATATTTTCACGACGTTTTGACCATTTGGTTGTGGTCCTTATCAAGTGAGAATTCCTTCAATTAAAATGAGATTAACGCAACATAAAACCGATCTTATTTAAAATTAATAGTTAAAAGAGGAACACGTCCCATCGCTATGATGTTTTGTCAACGACACATCGCATGAAAATTTTTGAGAGAACTACAACTAGTGGGTTGGCTAACACTGAGAATATCACTGCTGACACTATTATTTTGCTCCAGTAGTCAGCGCTTCAATTTGTAAGCGTTATGTAATGCGCAATGAAAAATTTTTGAAATCCGTGATGCGTGCAATATTGTCCGCACTCTCCCTCCACCGTTAGATTTTTGAATGCTGGAGAAATATCTTCTAAATTATATATCTCTCTGAAAAGTAGATTCCGCAAGTAATATGCTTTTTCGCTGCCTCTGACGTATATGTGCCTCGAGTATCTTATAATTTCTCGTAAACGCAACGTAAAATATTTTGAATTAGCTTCGCTGTCGAACCATTCGATACCGTGTTAATTTCGCGTGAGCCATGTGTTTTGCCGCCTTACTTTTTTGGGTAATTCTCCAAACGGATACGAAGCCATCATAATCCAATGGTCGACGATCGCTGCGTCAATCGCGACAATCGCGATTTCCTTAGGTAGAAACTTCTCGTCCGCATCGCGGAAGCCTTGTATGTCGATGACTATATCCATGTTGTGATGAAAAATTTCTACGCTTTTTAGCGAGGTTTAAGCTTTTCACGAACCGTCAACGTGCGTGTCTTGAAGGAAACTATTTCTTTTCGTAACGTCGTAAGATTTTCTTCTCGTAAAACTTGTCGACGAATGGAAGTGGAAGAGAAGGGAGGGGTAAGAAAAATACAGAAAAGTTTTAATTGGGTACGCTGTGACGTGAGAGTTGTAAATGCGGCGATAAAAATTTTAACCGGAAAAATCGACGATGACTTGACGCGACGAGTCGATTTCAATTACATTATCAAATTCGGCGTAAACAATACAGTTAATTGTTTCGGTAAGTGGCTTTTCGAATCGTACTTCTAATCGTAAACTGCCATGTCTCACAAGATTCCAATGCCCGGCGCAATTGGCGGACAAATCGGGTGTGAGATCAAAAGCGAAAAGCGTGTATCCCTTGGAATAATCGTCTCTACTTATAGAATTTCCCTCATTCAAGAAATGGATACCCGTTCCCGCAAAGTGTTTGATAAACATCGACGTAAAGCGGTTCTTCCGACGAGAAAATCGGTTGTAATGGCCTACTGGGAATTTGCACACCGTCGACGTACAGAGAGAAGAAATTTATACCGTAATTTTTAAAATTAAACGAATTTAATTTTTTATTTCTTTAAATGCTTTATTATTAACGAATCCTACTATTATTCGTTTCGGTAATTGGCCTAGTATTACATTATCTAATGATTCACCCGCAATGCCACTGTGAATTGTGAATGTTTTAACCTCGACTCTCGTAAGCAGATACTTGGCCGTAACTTTACTCAGCATTCTAGCATGCGCAAGTAACACTTCAGGGTATCGATTCTGTAAGTAAAATATGGTGAAAATGTTAAAAGTGAGCAGTGCGCGCCATTCTATAACTTTCATCATAGTGAGAAAGTGAGCCATCTCACGGGAGTTAGTTTGGCAAGAATATTCGTGTCGAATGGTGAAAGAACTGAGAAAGTGTAGAGAGTGATCGTGATGTGGTGATAAGTTTTGTATATATTTATAGTTTGAGTTATATATAGTTTTGCACAAACTATAAAAAAATTAATTATAAAGAAAATGGCAATGTACATGGCAGCTGCTTTGTTACTTGGAAAGGATAATGTTTTTGATGAACCACGTAATGAGGTTATGAGAGTTACACGAAGATTACTTCGAGATGTATCGAATCCATTCTCAATTTCTGAGAACGATTTTCGTAAAATTTATAGGTAAACTTTCGTATTTAAATTTCATATCAGTGGCAAAATTTTATATTACAGCGCGTAAGTATATGCTTTTTTATGTTTTAGATTTACAAAGGATGCATGTCGTCTGTTGATTGATGAATTGATACCATATATGTCTCGAATAACACGAAAAACTGCAATACCTCATCAATTGCAGGTAAATATTATATTTTTTAATTCTATTTGAATCTTTTTTTATGTAACAATTCTAATTGAATTTTTTAATTTTTTTAATTATGTTATTTTATTTCGATACATTGGTAAACTTTTTTGCATCGAGGTCATACCAAAGAAGAGTAAGTCAAGATTTTATTGCGTGTATGTCACAAACCTCACTTAGCCGTTGTCTTTATGCAACTGTAAATGCACTAATGTGTGTTATGGATAATTGGATCCGCTTTCGAGTAACTGCAGACAGAACTCAAAAAATCAAACAAGGGTATAATGTATATAAAATGCAGATTAAATTATATTTAATATAAGTTAATTAATATAAATTTAGCTTGATAGGCTTTTTTAAAAATTTTGTATTAGAACAATAACTTTTTTTCAGATTTTTTCAAAACGGTGGTTTTCCGGGGGTTATTGGAGCAATTGACGGAACACATATTGCCATTTTCCCACCCAAAATTGAGAGGGAACTTATTTATAAATAGGAAGTTATACCACTCGTTAAATGTATTAGTCGTATGTATAAATATTTTATGACGCTGAAATACATAGCAGAAAATATAATACAATAATGCAATAATGCAATAATACTGTTACGTCCGCGACCACCCTTCTGATTATCTCGAAGAAATGTCGCGCGCACTCAAACTCTCACACGCCGGAAATGAATACACTCGCGTAGTAAAGCAATAAACTTTAATATTAGAAGCCAATAAACCGTAACGATACAATATAATATTACGTGCATTAATCCTAATGCAAATATATCCGCCGATCAGCTGTCAGAGGATACGTCCTCACCGCACGACAGCTAGACCAGAACAAAACGCATCGATAGACATAAACAGCTTCTTAGCGACGATAGAAGATCCTGATAGAAGACCCTGATAGAAGACCCTGATAGAAGATCCTAATAGAAAATCCTGACGATCGTATAATACAGGGATGTATCGTCAAACGGGCGGGACACGGACATAACACTTGCCCCCTCCTCTTCAAAATTGTCGTCCCGACAATTAATTCAATAGGACAGATCCAGAACAATTCCTTACAGGAACCTCGCCGAATTACAGTCCCCGATGTGACTCCATGTTCTCCCGAACTGCTGTTCCAGGTACAACGAACTGCACACCATCTTGGGTCCAATCGACTTCATTGATTCCAGGAATTTTCCTCAAAGTCCCAAAAATTCTTCAGGCAAGAGAGGGGTAACATTCCGTGGACCCAACGCCCTTTTAAAGGACTCCTCAAGCCTCTGCCTCGGCATTTGCCCAAAGCCCCCGGGAAAAACCACGGATCAAAATAACCACGGGGTGAGGCAGTCTTCGTCCCTTTTTTGTGAGGTAGTCTTCATCCCTTTTATCTCTCTCATCTTCATCAGGTCCTTTTTCTTTTTGTTGCCAAATAAGATTTTCCTGAAAAACAAATCTTACGGCAGAAAAATTGAAGAATACACAATTTTATTAAAAGTACAAGTAACCTATCGTGGGTTCCGATTCTAATGCAAGTTTCGACTATAAAAAGGAGCTAATCTATCCGAATGCACAATTTTACATTTGTGCTTATTTGACCTTATGATTCCAAAAACCACATCGCTAAGCTTTTTGATTATTTTATAAGGCCCCTCCCAATTACTTTGTAATTTAGGAGATTTGCCTTTTACTCTATGAGGATTATAAAACCATACTTCTTGACCAATATTAAAATTAATCTTCCTAGCTCTACGATCATGTCGTATTTTAGAACGAAGAGATTGAAGATTCAAACGCTGACTAGCACTTCTGTGAATATTGTCCAACTTTTCCCTCAATCTGTGTACATATTCTTCGGAAGAATTATCTTTTTATCTACTGGAGGACTCCCTCGTAATAAATCCAAAGGTAGTCTTAAGTCTCGTGCGAAATACAATTCAGCAGGGGAAGCACCCGTAGCTTCATGTTTCGAAGAACGATATGCCAACAAGTACATATGAATCCAGTCATCCCAATCCTTCTGATCTTCTGAAACAAATTTAGCCAAGTAATTAAGAATCGTTTGGTGATGACGTTCTACCTGCCCATCTGACTGAGGATGTAGAGCAGTAGTCCTCGTCTTCCTAATCCCTAAAAGATGTGTTACCTCTTGAAAAATTTTAGATTCAAAATTTTTACCTTGATCGGTATGCACTTCCAACGGAACTCCATGTCGAGAAACAAATTGTTTCACGAAAACATCAGCTACCGTTTTTACTTTAATATTTTTTAAAGCAAATGCCTCTACCCACTTGGTAAAACAATCAATAATCACTAACAAATATCGATTTCCAGCTGTGGTAGTCGGAAGAGGGCCAAGTATATCCATTTGTACCCTCTCAAATGGAAATCCAGCATCAAATACTTGAAGAGGTGACTTCCCTTTTCCTGATGGACCTCTCCTTGCTACACAAACCTTACAGGAACGGCACCAATCCTCCACATCATTCTTACATGTGGCCCAATAAAAACGCTTTCGGATCTTCTCTAACGTCTTATTTACACCAAAATGGCCACCAAACGTAGAATCATGAGCCTCCTCCAAAACTTGATTGATGAAGTTCTTAGGAACAATAATCTGGAAAATTTCTGATTTAAGGTTAGGGGATTCCCATCTTTTATATAAAATTCCATCTCTAATAACCAAAGCATCCCAGTAGGACCAATAAACTTTCGCAGAAATATCTCTATTAATTTCTTGCAAATCAGGACGTCTATTAATTTCTTTCCCTTGAAGGAACATTGAAATAATAGGATCTTCTAATTGTTTATTCCGCCATTTCTCTGAACTATTTTCTCCAAGAATAATTCTAGCAACAAATTTTCTTTCAATTCTACTTTGGCACAATAAACACAACCGAGTTCTGAACAAGGGCGTCTTGACAAACCATCAGCATTCTGATGCAGTCGTCCTTTTCGATGAATTATTTCGAACTCGTACTGTTGCAATCTCTCTAGCCATCGAGCTAATTGTCCTTCTAAATCTTTGAATGACAAAAGCCATCTCAAAGAAATATGATCCGTTCGAATTTGGAATTTCCTTCCATATAGATAATGATGAAAAGACTTCATTGATGCCACAATTGCTAATAATTCCCTTCGTGTAATGCAATAATTCCTTTCTGCTTTATTCAAGACTCGACTGAAATAAGCAATGACTTTTTCTGAACCATTCTGAACTTGCGATAATACCGCTCCTATCCCATGATTTGAAGCATCCGTATCCAAAATGAATTGTCCGTGTTCCTTCGGAAAAGATAAAATTGGCGAAGAAACTAATCTCTCTTTCAATTCATTGAATGCCTCTTCACAAGATGAATTCCATTCAAATTTTACTTGATTTTCTGTAAGAACAAATAACGGTTTAGCTATTAAAGAGAAGCCTTTAATAAATTTCCTATAATAAGAACAAAATCCTAGAAAACTTCGAATTTGTTTCCTATTCTGAGGAACAGGCCAATTTCTGACGGCAGAAATCTTCTCAGGATCCGTCGTAATTCCATGTTCAGAGATAACATGACCAAGATATTTTACTTCTCTTCCAAAAAGCGAACACTTCTTAGGGTTCAATTTCAAATTTGCTGAGCGAAAGCGAAGAAAGACTTTCCTCAAATTTTCCATCATCCCCTCGAATGTTTCACTGAAAACAATCACATCGTCAAGATAAACTAAACAGATCTTCGATAAAACATCTTGAAGAACTTTCTCCATCAACCGTTCAAAAGTAGCGGGGGCATTGCAAAGTCCAAATGGCATGACAGTAAATGCCATAATCCATTTCCCACAGAGAAAGCCGTCTTCTCCTTGTCTTTGGAGTCCAGCTTTACTTGCCAATACCCGCTCTTCAGATCCAGAGTAGAGAACCAAGAATTTCCTGAAAGTTGATCCAAAATATCTTCAATTCGAGGCAATGGATATGAATCTTTCACCGTGACAGAATTCAGCTTCCTATAGTCGACGCAAAATCTTAATGATCCATCTTTTTTCTTTACCATTACGACAGGAGAGACCCACGGACTTTTAGATTCTTCAATAACTCCCTGAGACTTCATTTCTTTAATGATTTTATTGACTTCCTCTCTTAAATGAATCGGAACTCTACGTGGAGCTTGTTTAATCGGCCTAGAATCCGTAACCTTAATATCGTGTTTTAAAATTCCACAGTTCCCTGCAATCAAATCCTGAGAAAATACATCCTGAAATTCTAATAAGAAATTGGCAAAAATATCTTTTTGAGAGAATTCAAATTTTTAGAATTTTCCCCGAAAAATGTCTCAAGAAAATCAGGGACTTTCCCTTTAATAATTCGAAAACAAGAAAATTCATTTCTATTATTCTCTTCAATATTTCCAAATTGGGATTCAAAAACTTTTTCTAGATTTATTTTTTCAAGAAAATCTATCCCAAGAATGCAATCATCAGAAATGTTAGCAACAATTATAGGAATCTCTACTTCATGCTTTCCTAATTCAATCAAAACGTTAACTTTATATTTAACTTCAATTAATTCCCCTGTAGGATATTTAAGATAACAATTGTTTATTTCCAAATATTCTTTCGATTCTTTCAAAAATCCCTCTCTAAGAATAGAAACATCGGAACCCGTATCTATTTTAAATCGACAAATCTTTCCGTCCAATTTTCCTTTATAATAAAAATATTTCTAGTTCTACTTATTCTAGCACATTGTAAAACATTGGGGCTATCACGCAATTAGCCGAACCTGCCCCGCGAAGTTCGACTAAACCTTGTTTTCCGTAAATGACGGACATTCAGAACGGAAGTGCCCTCAGCGCCGCAATGCCAACATTCCTTTTTGCCTTCGGACCGTTCCTTTGAAAATATTTATTATTATACGACTTCCCTTTCTCGTTATGTTTCTCTTTTGTTTCCTCGTTTTTCTCTTTGTTCTCAATTTATTAAATTTATTAAATTTATTATATTTATTATATTTGTTATATTTTTCAAAATTTTGATTCGGGAATTTTTATTTTTTTTGAAAACTATTTTCTTGAATAACTTTTACTGCCATTGCTCTCTCTATGGCAGATTTTAATGAAATAACGCTTTCTAATTGAAGAGTTCTCTTCAAAAAGCCGTCGTCTGATATTGCAGTAATAAATTGTGCGCAAGCAATTTTATCTCTAACTTCATGAGAACACTCAGGATAGGCTAATCGCGACAATCTGTCTAAATCCGCGCCAAGAGAAGCCAAATCTTCCGAACTCTTTTGTCTACGATTCGTAAATTGCGCGTAATAAGACTGAGCCGAATGCCCTTCACCGAAACGTAATTCTAATTTTGACTTTAAATCCGCGAACTCTAAATTTTCAATCTCCGAAATTCCATCCAAAACGGTCCGCGCTTTCCCTCTTAAACAAGCGGCAAGAGCCAAGGTCTTTTGAAACGAATTCCAACCATTAGCTCGCGCTATAAAATCGAACTGGGCAATAAATTCGCGCAAGGGTACACTCCCGTCAAAATTCTCGGGTTTGAGCTTATATCCGAGCTCAAAATTATTGTGTAAAAACATTGTTCGATTCGCTATTTCTACGTGTGGTGTTGTTCGGAATTCTATTATGTGTGTGACTTAGCTGGTTATTTTCCGATGAGGCGAGTCTTTCCTGTAATCGGTGCAGTTCCTCGTCCCGCTGTTGCAGCATCGTCAAAAATTGAGCCTGCTGTTGTGAGCGTTCCTCTCGCAATTCTCTAATTTGTTCTAACGCCTCCTGTAAAGCGTCCACGCGCTCGGAAGTTTCCTCGCTGTTAATCGCTCGAAGTGGAGTCGACTGTTGTTCTTCGCCGATCATTGCTCGTGACGAAGCTTGCGAACGAGTAATCCTCGGAGAATGCACCAAAGACATCGTAACCTTTTCACCGCACACACACACGAAAATTTGTCCTTTTTTACTACGGTTCGTGGCTCGTGTTACGTCCGAACGATCCCGGACGAGCCCCAAAATGTTACGTCCGCGACCACCCTTCTGATTATCTCGAAGAAATGTCGCGCGCACTCAAACTCTCACACGCCGGAAATGAATACACTCGCGTAGTAAAGCAATAAACTTTAATATTAGAAGCCAATAAACCGTAGCGATACAATATAATATTACGTGCATTAATCCTAATGCAAATATATCCGCCGATCAGCTGTCAGAGGATACGTCCTCACCGCACGACAGCTAGACCAGAACAAAACGCATCGATAGACATAAACAGCTTCTTAGCGACGATAGAAGATCCTGATAGAAGACCCTGATAGAAGATCCTAATAGAAAATCCTGACGATCGTATAATACAGGGATGTATCGTCAAACGGGCGGGACACGGACATAACAATATACTTAATACTATGTATAATAATATGTATAATAATAAATTGTAAAAAACGTATTTTAGATTTGTGATAGAATTGCGAAATTCTTACTGTAAACAGCGCTCATGGTGGCCGAACACATAATGCTCGAGTGTTTCGGTCATCAAAAATATTTGCTCATTTGGAAAGAAGGAAAGCATAGAGAGAGTAAAACAGATTTTTGGCTTCTAGGTAAATAATTAATATACATATAATAATGGAAGTTTTTCCATCAAGCAACACGAGTCGACACAAGCATCATTTCGTTTTTTCACTGAAGTTGAAAAAATGATGTTTGTGTCGACTTGGTCGTTGATGAAAAAGCTCCCAATATTGATAAGAGA